TTTTAAGTGGGATGGGGTAGAAAAATTAATAATGTGGAATATTTATCTTCAGGCATAGAATATTCTTTGTGGCAAATTCATGATCACTGTTTGAAACCATGACTGCATTTTGATGTCGTCAGGGGTGTCTGCAAGAAGGGGTCAAAAAAGTCAAGATGGGAGCCATTACCTCCTGATTAAAACCTTCTTTAATGAAAAAAAAAGGGGGCTCAGCTTCAATCATGCAATCATGGCTGCCAATTTATCATTTTGACACATACGCACACACATCCTGCATGCCTCTGCATGTCATGATATTATAACTATATTATGTGGATAAGCACAATGGTGCCTACAGGCTCCTCCCCTTTGCAGATGCAGGTGATGAACTAGAGATGGAGACTGTTGATTCTTTTAAGAGGAACAAAATGGAGTTCCTGCTTTGCACAGAGCCCTAAGCCAAACAAACAATTCTATAGTTCACTAGCTTTCCTTGTGGGACAAACCAGGGAATGCAATTACATTCATTTTCAGATTAAGCTCATTATACTTTAGCATGATACAGGCCCTTTTGGTCATCTGGAATGCTATTAGGTAAGATTAATTTTTCTTTTAGAGTTCACCAAGCCAATTAAATAATCTTGGAAAGCCTTTTAGATACCAAAAAAGAAGTCTTACTTTGGAATCTATTGCAGATGGAAACTGGCCAATTATGTACTTTACCTCCTACCCAATTTCAATTAAGTTTCTTCCTCAGAACCTTCTATAACTTCCCTCTTCAGTTCTGTTATATGGGAAGTTTAATAAAGTTCTTACAGTCAAAGTTGAACTTGCCCCAGTGAATCTCTCCTCCAAGTGTTCCATTGTTCTCTTTACCAAAACAGTAGAGGAAGAATAATTTTTCCTTCCTTTGTTACCATATGCTCCAAACTAGTCTGAATTTTATTTTAATCTTCTTTTATCAGATAAGAAAGTTCTTACCACACATAACGTTGCAAAGTTTGAACAGCAGCTGTGAATATCAGTGAAGAACTGGCTTCTGATATATATGGTTTTTAAAATTTGAACCTTTTAACAAATGTTCAGCTGTTTGGTACTTATTATGCTATCTACTGTTTATTCTTAGTTTCTGATCTCTAATTTGATTAATACTATCTGAACCAATCACATGTAATGTTGGCATTATGAACCATTATAGTGATAAAGCTTACAAATAATTTCATAAAATGGAAATACCTTTATTTTTACTTAAACAAACTTGTACTTTTATGTAACTGCAGGGTCCAAGCTAGGAAAGGAGCTGCTGCCATAGTAGGAAAAAGCTTGTGCATGCTCTTCGTTCTTACTCTACCCGATGAAATGGAAGGAGACATGGCATTTGCTCTAGAATGCACTAAGCGTGAATTTGCAGCTCTTGACGTGGATTCTTTTTAAGCAATTATTTCCATCCCATGCTTTTCAAAGCTATACAATTAAAACTGCTGTTCTGAAAATGGCTTGGAATGGTAAGATCACGTTTAGAACAAATACAGGTTTGGCTCCTAAACTCATTCTCTCTCCAGTGTTGTATTTGAGCAGCCAGTATTTATATTTTACATTGTCTAAAGAATCTTGTAGCTTGTGGTTGGGATGTGCAGGCTTTGAAAATGATTGGGAGGTCAGATCTCATGTGAGCACAGCACCATTCTGCAATTCATTACGGAGCCCCTCTTCTTTCCAGCTTCGCCTGCAGCTGTTTTGAGGAGTCACACCAACTTTAAATGAATCAACTCCTTACAGCAGTGTTTCTCAACCTCATCAACTTTAAGATGCATGGATTCCAACTCCCAGAATTTCCCAGATTGCACGCTGGCTGGAGAGTTCTGGGAGTTGGAATCCACGCATCTTAAAGTTGATAAGGTTGAGAAAAGCAACTGCACTTTTTAAAAAAGTTCATGCTGAAATCTGTATATTCTGACATACTGTATAAATGAGATGATCTATACTGTAGTATTGATGTAAGAAAAATATAGTACTTCTAGAAACAATACTCTCCTCCCTTCTCTGGCATTCACACACACTGACAGAAAATAAGGACAGAGTTCTATTTTGTGTTTTAATCCACAAATGGAATGATAATGAACCCAAAATAGTAAGTCAAGGAATGAGTAACAAACTACATTGGATATTACTGCTAGCTGTAATTTTCCTCTGGGTTTTGATACTTCACTGAACACTGCCTGTAAGATTTAGGTATATTAGAAGGACAGAAACATCATTTTTCAAATCAAATCAGGGCTTCCGATGGAGACATGGCAAGCTATACATGTCTACGTGGAAAGCGGAGATGATTGCGGCAAAGACCAAAGAACCGGTGAGTAGACCTGTTCTTTGGAACCTCTCCGGACAAGGAGAGGATGGGAGATTACACACATGTGCTCTGAAAGGCTGCTCTTCTCAAGGAGAGCACAGACAGCGGCTTTCTGGGGATTTGAACCCCGGGAGATGATGGGATTAGCCATCTTACTCGCAATCACAGTGGAGCCTTTTAAAAGACACTGAGTTTATTAATCTTGCTTCTAATCACTTTTGGAAACTGCCTATTTAACTATCATAAGGCCATTAGAGATCTTCGGAAAGACAGGTCTGAAAAGCCATCATCTTCATTTCTGAACAAAAAGAAAATTAACTATAAGTTTAAGAACTTAAAGAATTTGAAATAAATGGCAAAAAACTAAATAAGATTTTGAACCAATAAAGTTATAAACGAATTAAGGATCCAGACAAATCCAGGAATATTGAAACTTTTACTATAAGATTTTGGAACTCAGTATATAAAATAAACAGCTTTTCACGGGAACCACAATTATTTTGTCTACTGTAAGTCATAACAGAGATGAGAGACCTTTTGGTTTAAATTGGACATTAGAGGGGACTAAAGATTCCAGGCAAAAAGAAAAAGAACCCTGCCTTCAGTTTTGATTAGGATTGGGATTTACAAAATGACACAAAAACACTGTAACATTTGAAATATTAAAGGAGATCGTTGAAGAATGGGGCCAGAAATTAGTAGCCACTACCAACAATATCAGTAATTATGTCTGCTTCTATGGATAGATTATGTTTAAAGGATGCTAATGAAGGAATGACAGAAGTGAAATAAATCTTGCTTGATGCAGAAATAGTGAAATCAGAAATATTGAATTAAAAAAAAAGTGTGGATTACAAGATAGAGAAGGTATTTAAAGTGGAAATAGTAGCAGGCCAAGATAATGACCCGGATAAGAACTCTTTACTGGATATACAAAAGCAACTGGGTGAAGTTTTAAAAATTAAAGGGGAAATGCAAATGATAAACCAAAAGAATGTCCTGGATAACATCTTTTTATTGGATTTACAAAAGAGGCTTGTTAAAGCCTTGAAGAAGCCTATGCAATGGAACAAAGAACTGAAGAGAGATCAAACCCTATGACAATATTTGAATGAATTAAAGATGAAGAGGTAAAAGAAAGGAATATAAAGTTGGTTTATTTGATCAAGGTTAAAATAAGACATGTTTTTATTAAATTCTGGGTTGGGGTTGATGTTTTATGGATTTGCTTATAGATAAGGGATGGGTTATGGGAAGAAGAGTTTGTAACCTTAAAGGGGGTGAAGAGCTACCAAACTTGTTTATACTTGTGATGAAGATTGGAAGTAACTTCATCATATATTTCTTTTCTTTTTATTTCACTTTCCTTTTTCTTTTCTTCACTTTTTCTTTCTTTGCACTTTTTACTTTTTAACTTTTCTCTGAGTTTAGTTTGTGTTAACTTTTATTACTGTAATTAAAATCTTTAATAATACATACACACACACACAGATGTATAGATTTGAAATCAGTATATTTCAGACTATTATATGATCTGTAATGTAGCGTACATATAATGAAAACGATTATGTATTTGTTCTGCAGTACTGGAAGATTGGCCATATGCATTCAGAAATGCTAGACCTTGATCAGACAAACTGATAAACATTTAAAAAGACCTCAATCTGATATTTCTTCTTCAATCAATTTATAAAATCTGATTAAAATTGCAACAGCCCTTGCATGTTTAGAATATCCATGTGTGTATACCTACCTTATTCAGGCTTTCTATAAAATCTTTTATGTTTATAATGAATAAATCTCCTGCAAGAAAGGAATTTCAGTTTTTTTTTTTAAATTTGGCTAATACTTGTCAAGCTCCTTACCTTTCTATTACATAAAAGAGACTACTATGAAGTATAAATTATCAAAAACAGTGAGCGAGTAAAAGAACACACCACAACTATCAAGCAAATAAATAAATAAATAGCAGCATTCCCAGATCTATAGAAGTTAAATATTGTGCCAAACATCCCTAATGGTCACAATAATTCTAAAGCTAATAATAGTAATTCTTATTCCATGAACCATTAGGATGAACAAAAATACTAGTAATTAAGAACTAGAGATAGAAAGCTTAAAAGCCCGGAAATGAGTAAGCACAATAGAAAAAAAAAATTCTTTTGCAGTGGAACTTCAGCATTCACAAAGAATTGTGCATTTCTACAGATGTAGAGAAATGTACATATCTAATGTATCAGACAATTGCATTGTGTTCAGAGTTGGATCCAGGTTTAAGTCACAGAGTAAGTATACTAAACTTAATTTAAACCCCATTATTTAATTAATTAATAGCTAATATAAGTGGCATTGATTTTGGAGAGACTACTATAGTCAAGGCCAAGTTTGAATTAATCCTGAGAGGATTAATCCATACTGTGTTGTCTTTCTACTAGATTATGACGGTTTCCCTAAAAGATGATCTACTGCAAACAGAGCTGGCATTATCATTAAAGTGACCAATTTGTTGTGAAGGAATGTTATACATTTACCCCATGAACAGCAAAATCAGTTTCTATGTTTGAGGCCAAATGTTCACTTAAGAGGATCTGAATAACTGCAGTTTTGTACAAAGTATTTTGGGGCACTTGTGGAAAACAAAACGGTTACAAAGGAATAAAAATATGCCCAATATCTTTATTTTAAAATATTTATTCATTGCAAGTATTTTTATATCAGCTCAATACCTTATTAGAAAAGTTCTTCAAGGGAAACAGTTTCAAGTAAGCTCTTTAACATTTTTGTTGCAATTTTTAATCCAAGAAAATGCTAATTCAAAATAGTGGAAGTACCAAATAAGGGTTCCTGTAATATAATTTGGGTTGCATACTATCAATAAATTAGTTCCCAGTCTAAAATATAATAGTTCTACTGCTTCAAAACATTTATTATATATTTTGCTTCATCCCTGCTGTTCTGATGTATGTCACTGGCCCAGGATAAATCTCTCTTCGTATATTCAGTGGAAGCAATTCAGGAGCCTCAAACATCTCTTGTCGCAACCAGCTGCAAAAGGGTTCATGTAGCTGTACACATCCACAACCCTCCAACGTGTTAATTCTGTAGCACTAACACAAGAAATGACCCAGCGTTTTCTTGAAAGCCAGACGAAGCCAATGTGAGCCAGACGAATTTGCCTGGACAGCAAATGAACACAAAATTGAATCTGAGATATGCTGCAGTTTGGTGTGTATGGCGGTCATTTTTTCCAGCAGCAAAAACAGGATGCTGTCACCATGCTGCCCTTTAAAAGGCTTTCAACACGTGCCCCCCTTTTCCTTATTTAATGGGACTTATTCAAATGTGTCTCCATTGCAATGTCAATAACCGTTTTTGAACAATATTTTTCTTTAGAAAAATCCCCTATACTAGAAGAAAATAAAACAAAAACAGCAAATGAATGGCTACATATAACCTTATGAACACTTTTCATGTAACTATATCATTTGATTAATATCCTTTTATAAAAGGAATATTTTAGACTATTTGCTTGGCCTTCAGGGACTGTGTCTTCATGGTTCATGGGTTCCCTTCCTCAAGCAAATACAGAACATTTTTCATTCTTTTTCTTACTTCTTTCCTGTCTAAATGAGTTGTTCGAGTCCCAGTCCTACTTCTAATCCATTTGTTGATTTAAGTGCAGGGGCCAAGGAGTAAGGGAACACTCCCATAAATAAAACAATTGTAACATAAAACATATACAGCAAGGTGAAAGAGCTGGTTATCAAAGTATATGTAAAATATGCAGCATATTAAATAATCCAGATAAAACTCACTATTTCTTGTTTGCCTCCCCTCAGTGTAAGACAGGCATACATACTAGGCATATTTGTATGGAGTAATTAAAAATGAAACTCTTTAGAGTTCAAAGCTTTTCTTAAGGCTCTCAAGATCATTCAAAGAAAATTGTTGGTTTTGCACATTGGAAAGAGAAGCCAGTAGCTGTTGAACCGGCTCTGTTTCATTCTTACCAAGAAGTGTCCGCACCACCTGAAAGAAAAGTATGTGTACTTAATTATTTCTTAAAATGGTATTTATCTAAATGCCTTGTTATTTGAAAAATAATTTACAAATAGAAGACATTAATTTGCTCACCTTAAACCTTTCAGTTTTACTTAGGTAGAAAAGATGTTGGTATACTAGGGTAGGGTTTTGGCTGAAAACATCAGACTGCAGAGCTTGGATAAAGATGAGAAAAATATCTACTTCTAGTTTGTTGCTTAGTAGTACTGGCAAATCTTTTGGCTCAACCATGGCTAAGAGCTCTGCACAAGCAGCAATGTCCTTATTGGCATTCACAACATTGATTATCTGCCCAAATTCATAGGCATTTGATGGCTTAGAAATGATTAGCTTTTCTGAGCTGTTCAATGGCATGGTCACTCCAAACTCCTCTTTAGCATTGTGATGGTTTATTGCAGCATTTCTTGAAGAACAGGTCTCTGCATCATCTTCCTCATGTTCATTTACCTTCATCATAAAGAAATAACCATGCATTTGGTCAGCCTCAATAAATACATACGACATAAAACATTTCATAATTACAGTAAGTAGGAGAAAGGGCATAAGAACTTTTTCAACCACCGATATTTAAATGTGTGTCTGGAGAAAATTGCATTCATAATGATCAGCTTTTCATTCCTTCCTGGATTACCTTCCAAAATGTTCCTGCTCACACACATAACCTGCAGCTGATCACAGAGGAGAGGCTGATAGTATTATTCTCTAACTCTCAGTGGGATGCTAATTTCATGGGAAAGAGCCATACAATTTGCCCCATTTGGTGGTTATTTATTTATAGTTCACCGTTCTCCAAAAACATCAGTCAAGAAGGGTAATGGTAAAGACAATAAAAAGATACAAATCAACTGAATGCACAGCTAAACATTAAAAATAAACACATCCATAAAATACTACACAAGAAAACCAGAAAATCAGCTCAGCAGGGTTTTTTTTGCCAAAGTCTTGCTGAGAGGGATAGAGAGGTGGCTAGCTGACAGAGCATCAATAGAGAGGTCAAAGTCCGGGCGAAACCATCTGAGGCCATCCATTATTTTCCTCCAAATTTGCTTCTGTCAGGAGTAGAACAACCACCACCAAAAAACACTCTTCTAAGATGTTAAATCTCAGGCAGATTGGTAAGGTAAAAAATGGTATTTCAAAAAGTCTAGTTCTCAACTCATAGAAAGCATTATCAGCTGTGAATCATGCCAGATCAGAAACAGACCAGTGGCTATTTTCACCACAGAGTATATGCTGCTTATAATTGACTCCAGTTAGGAGCCTAGCCTGCCTTATTTATAAAGTGAAGTTTCTGAGCAGTTCTCAAGGGCGGTCTCACATGCAGTATGCTACAATAGCACCAGTGGGATATAAGTAGGGTCTGCACATTGTGATTGGATGTGACATCCACAGAAATAAACATGCTGGTCTTAGTGGACCAAATAAACTCCTGACCACCATAAAAAAATTGGGTGTCCAGACACAGACTCCCAAACTATGAAAGAGGTTTTAAGAGGAGTATAACTTCCTCCAGAACAGGTAGAATCCCTTTTAATCAGCTATGAGCAATTTCTGTCTTATCTGGATTAGGATACAGTTTGTTTGCATTCATCTCTAGTCCATTCCTAATCTCAGCCACTGCAGTAGAACTTAGAACAGCCTCATGGGATTTCAGTTAAAAAAAAAAAAAAGGAATTGGTTGTCACCTTCATATGGGGAGTAGCAAATCCAAAGCTTACTTACCAGTTTCAATATACATTAAACAATATGAAGGAAGCAAAGGCAAGGTGCTATCCTGAGGGACATCACAGATCAATGGCTAATGTATTGAAGAGACATCTTCCAGCACCACTTTTTTGAAATCAGCCTGTAAGAGGGTAGTCTCTGCTTACATCTTATCAAGGCCATTAGTCACCTATTAGTGTCTCCAACCAGGCATGCCTTCCAGTTGTGTAGTCTACATGTATTTAAAGCGTTCTGACACTGAATATTTGTTTTGGGGTTAGACTATTTCATGACAGAAAAGTTGTACACTCCTCCTCTGGACTTTATTTCCCAGTAGAGAATCCTAGGAGTTGAAGACAGTACATCTGGAGCATGACCAAGCTGGGGAAGGCTGAACTACAAAAGAGTAGTTCAAACTGACTTCTAAATTTCATGCTGTATTTTCTTGAAAAATGTCTCCAAACTGCCAAATGGATAGCCATTTAGAGAATATACAAGCTAAAAAAAAAGCTAAGAATAAAATTTAGTAATTTAATCTAAACATTTTAACCTCTGTGGTTTTTCTTTTTCAATAAAATACCTCTTGGATTTCAATTTTTTTCCTTTGCTTTGGTTGACTGTTGTCTGTAAATTCATGTTTAAGTTTAAATAGTTGAGTTGTTTCGTGCAGCTCCTTCTGGGCTTCACCAATACTGGAATCAATTAAAAGAACTTTATTCAAATCTTCAACACTAGCTTTATAGTTCTGAAAGTTAGAAAAATCAATTATTGGCTTAAATATCAAATTGTTGGAGAAGTTACAATATTTACATAGAAAAATCTGAATTTTTGCTATTATGCTTTCTAAAGTTACTACACTTATAGCTGTTTGCTGGACTAATCGTTAATCTAGCATGCACATTCTTATGTTCTTAAGGCATCCGCTACTGTGGTAAGTGAATGATCTGCTATATAAGCTTTTGGTTGTCAGAGTAAGGAGGAAGATACGTGATCTTACCAAGACCTCATGCAATTTACAAAAATTTGATATGCCAGGCCCCTGGCAACTATATAAAAGAGGCTATATTTATTTAAGGTACAGTCCCAACAATGATTCCAAAGGCAATAGAGGAACACTTAAAATTGTGAAAGTAGAAGCAGTTATTTCTGCAAATAACACCTGTCACTATGCTCTCTATGCTTTTCCTTGGCTTTTCCATCTTGAGAATTGAAGGAATTCTTCAAAGATAGTCAGCCAAAGGTATCCTCTGGTTCTTGGTTTCTATGGAACTCTAGCAACAGAATGGCTGTGTCCTCTTAAGTCTTTTCTGCCAGTGAAAGGGCATGTCTTGGTGATATCCGATGTTACCAGCTCCCCAATATTCCCTTAAAAATGTCTTTCATTGACTTACCTGGTTTATATTAAAACAGTTCCTACTCTCTGGGTCACTCAAATTCAGCATTATTCATTCTGACATTCCCCTTCTTCAAGCTAAGTTTACGTACTGTATAATTACACACATCTGATGAGTAATATCTACAAATTAACAGATATGATGCTCTTTGTTCTTACCTCTAATCCTTTGTATGCTAGAGCTCTTCTGTATAAAGCTTTTATATTAGTGTCATCTATCTGAAGAACATAATCACAATCCTTTTTGGCTTCTTCATACTTAAGCAGCTTCAAGAAACAAAGAGCCCTAATATCGTACAATCAGAAACAAGAGAGTGTAAGATCATGTTACAACACTTAAAGCCGCTTAGGGCTAATGCTCCTGTTATTTTTATACTACCCATATGCACATTTTGCAGTGCAAGAACGTGTCAGGTTGACTTTCCCATTAGAATGTATATTGGAGTCATTTGCCCAGCTCTGCAGTGTATTTCCTGATGAATAAATTATGGACCTGAATACCATATTGGTATGGATATATGGTGCTACAGTGATATGGATATAAAATATGGCAATGGTGCAATATAACAGTTAGTGTATTGAACTGAGATCAAGACCATAAAAAGTCCACTCAATGGCTTTGGGCCAATTATTATCTCTTACTTCAGTTACCTTACAGGGGATATTAAAATGGTAAAGTAAACCCATGTATATTACTTGGAGCTCCTGCAGGAAATATGAAATATGGTATCTACAAAATGGGAATTATATTTCACTTACAAAAATGATGAATGCTAGAAACAGCTTTTCTTCACTAAAACCAATGATAAATGCCTAACAATCTGAATAAAGCTGGCTAGATTTGGATGCAGTATTAGATACCTTCTTACCTGTTAGTGTAGATAGTCTTTTCCTGTGAATTTAGCTTTATACACTCATTGTATTTCATTAATGCTTCTTCATATTTACCCTTTTTCACAAATTCATTTCCTTGATTCTTAAGTATCTTGAACTTCTCTTCTGCATTATCACCTATTTGTCAGTAAAGATAAATAGATGCCCATTCATTAACACCCGCCTTCAGTAAGGAGAATATTTATACCTATTCAGAAAGCAAGCTGAAATACATACAGAACATTTCATTCCTTAAATAAGGGGGTATCACATTCTCTTGTCACTGTGGCTAACCTTATGATCTCACACGCTAGAGGACTTCTTTGCCAACAAAAAGTCAAGTTAAGCATCCCATTTTCAAACTATACAAAACAGATGCACATAGGCACTCACCCACCAAACCTGCATGGGGAACATGAACCAAGATATGAACTGAAAAATAGTATTAAGTTATCTGCAGATATGAAGGAGATCCTGAAGAACTCGGCAGATATATTTAAATGCAGCACTCACCAGACTGTCCTAATTTCTACTTCTAACTGCAGCACTTTGGATATTGTCAGCTCCAGAACATGTTCTGATTTTCTGAAATGCTCTTTTGTAGCATGAGAAATTGTAGGAAAAGGAAAGCTTAGGATCCCTTAGTGTAAACAATGAAACACTAACATAAAAATCTCTGTGAATATGAAACCAAAATCTCAAATATGACTTTTTCCCATAAAAGTTCACTAATGATTCTACTGACATACTAAAATAAAATGCACATACTAGGAATCTGTGACAGTTGATTTCTGCAAGTGACTGCCGCTTTCTTTTGTTTTGACTCTGAAGTAAAGCTGTCTCCATCCCACCAGTGTAACTGAGCAGAAACTGGGACAACAGGTATTGGTGGTAACTTCTCCCTCCAATTTGAGCCATCCAGATTTATTAAAGTTCTTGTTATCCTAAAATAAAACAAGTTTTATTATATATAAGATTTAATTAATCTTAATAATTTAAAATACGCACAGCATTCAGTATGCTACCTCAGATCCACACATGTAGAAGCTTAAAGTCCTCCCAACCTGTCAGTATTGGCCACTTAGATTACACCATCCATAAGATGATTAGGCTCATTTCTCATTAGGTGGGGAAAATGTTAATAGTAATCTTTAAGAAACTCCAAGAACATCATAGGACACCAGTTCAAAAAACCTTAATTATTTTTCAAATATCAAGATGTCTAGGTCACTTCAATTTAATTTAGTTCTATTTAATATAATCCAGAAACAAATACTTAGCAAGCTGAAAAAAGAATTACCAGCAGGAGGAGGAGGAAGAGAAGGAAGCAGCTGAAATAAGGAGATGGGTTGCCAGGAAGAAAAGAGTAATAAGCAGTGAAGCAAAAAGTATAAATAAGACCTAGAAAGGGGGAAAAAGTAATTGAGTTAAGCTTGACAAACAGAAAGTTTTAAAAAACAAGCCAGAAACCAGAGGTATACCCATTCCTCGTTTAATGACTACCTTGGTTAATGACCATTCACAAATATGACAGTAATAAAAAATTAATTTTTTGACCAATGTGCGCATTCATGACCAAATTTCGTATGCCTGACAATAACACATGCTGGAGTGAGAGTAACACTGGCATAACTGTAGGAGAACTTTATCTGAATGAGACAGCAGCAACCAGTGATTTTTGCAGCCTCTCTCTCTCTCTCTCTCTCTCTCTCTCTCTCACACACACACACACACACATGTTCACGTAGTGACCATTTTACTTAATGACCTGGTCATCAGAATGGAACTCAGTTGCTAAACGAGGAGTGAATGTATTCTGGACAATTCCAAAAGCATGTATATTGAAATATAAACGTAAAAAACTTGGAAATTGTAATTCATGTTCCTCAGGTTTTTCAGTTTGCATGACAATGCTATCAGATCTTATAGTAAATTCTAAAGAAAGCATTTCCTCGGTTTATTTAAAGTTCAGTCTGAAATATATTTTCAAAAAGTGATGAATAGTGTATCTCTCTCTAAATGATCAAGTGATTCCTGTATGTACTCAGTCATCAATATATTTAGGTCAAATGGCAATTTTAGTTGTGGGACTCAAGGCAAAAGTAGAGAGCAGTCATCAGCTAAAGCTGGGTTATGATACCTTTTATGCCTAAAAATTACATACATAAAATTATTTATTGTAAATTAGTTATGCTAACTAGAAATGCTGACTAGGCATATTCCTTTATCTATGTAATATGTATTAGTAAGTCATGGATATATTAAATTAAAAAAGGAAAGTAAGGTATATATTCAACATGGGAACAGTGGAAGCCACATTTTCTAGTCAAGACAGTTAAATCTCAACATCTATCTCAATAAGTGGAAATAAGGAGAAAATAATGTTCTGGATTTGCTTATAACAATTTCTTTTAATTTTTTTGGATGAGATATAATAGTAATACAACTTCACTGGCTAGTGTATGGCAGAAAAAGTAATCTATCAGTATGGTAAATGCAGATCCTTTAAAAAGGACTACTCACATTGAAATAATAACTATGCAACAGCAATATATTAATTATTGATATTCCACACATTCTGCTAAAGGACAGGAATACCAATTCAACCAATAGAAAATCAGATAAATCCACATAATAAAAGTGTCACATAATAAATAAAACAAACAGAAATTGCTAGGCCAGTCTTTTGTTTTGCTTGTCCTACCAAACATCTATGTAAATGCTGTCTCTGCATATCCCTTCCTCTTGTATTTCATATCATTTTGTGTCAGTTATGTAAATGACTTATTCACTTTGTCCTTGGGAGGGAAAGTAGGGGGTAGAGATCAGATGCCATGGGATATCAAATAGGGTCCTTTTTTTTCTCAGTCTAAAAAGCAGATTGTTTGTTTGTAACAACAGAAAACAAAACAAAACAAAACTCCAAGTGCCACAACCCAATTATCATGGAGCCAGTGAGGCCTCCCAGGCCCAAAGGTTCAAAAGCTAGGAACCCACTTGAGAAAAGCTTTCCACTCTACTCAGTAATAGCATCAGAATTATATGGGGAAAAGGAGATTTTTCAAGTATTCTATTACTAAACAATTTCAAATTTAAAAAATTATCACCCACAAGCCACTTACACTACCAAGACAGCAAAAATAATACAACACCTAAATCATGAATTCAGAAAGACTCAGAATTCCCACTGCTGCCTTTTTTTACCAACTGATTTTTCAAAAGCAAATCCCTAGCAAAGCATGTTGCAAAATTCAACCTGGATGTGATTAGCATTTGTGTAACTTTGGACACATTCACATACTCCAGAAAGGGTGTGGCTGGCATACCAGTCTGATTTGTCAAAATTTTTAGCTGCAACTACCCTTTAGATCAGGGTTTCCCAACCTTGGCATCTTTAAGACATGTGGACTTAAACTCCTAGAATTCCCCAGCCAGCAGCATAACCCTGCTTTAGGTATTTAACAGCAATGCTGAGGAGCGCTCTCAGGCTGTTAACCGGGTTTGTTGAGAGAAGTGCCATCTCACACAAAGTAGGCTTTTCATTAGTTTTCCTACAACTAGTAGTATTCCTCATCTTGTCTGGATTACGTTGCTGCCAAATGGCATCAGTTCAGGACTTCTACTGTCTGTGCAGGTGCCTGATATTAATATGAAATAGAATTGAGTATCACTGGGATTCTGTGCCATCCGGATCCAAACTGCTGGATGTTTACTCCCGGCTGTTCTGTAAAGATACTAAGTAAAATGGAGGACAACTTCATTAAACAAAGTCTCACCATAGCATTATGCCTTTCTATTTACTTTCTGATCTACCCAACAAGGTTTTACACCTCTAGCTCTTTGAATTAGGAAGGATGGAAAGGACTGCCTTATACCTCTATATACTTTCTTAAACTGACATAAACTAAAAAACCTCATAATATAAGCCTTAAGAGAATTATTCAGAAATTTCTGCAATTACACAGCAATCCATGATGGGTTCTGTAAAACTACTAGGTGTTCATCTGCTTTTCCCGGAGAATCAGAATGTCAGGATTTTCATCAGCTGCAACAGCTCCGTGGGCCAATACTACTACACTGAGAAGACTGGCAGAATATGTTGCCATCCGAATCACTACAGACTATCACCATAAAAATAACTTCTATCTCATGTTATGGAATCTATTTCATGAGGTCATATACACTTAGAGTCAAGGTTACTTGTGGACATGGCATTCGGTAAATGACATATCAGAGACTACTGCAACTCTGATTGTCTATTCCTGAATATCAGATTACTACTGTTGCCAAAGGGTTGTAGCACACAAAATGGGAAAAGTTAAATAATGAAAGCAATGTTCTCCCATGTCATCCTCCCAGGCTGGCTTGTTCATGTAAAACAATAATCAAGGTTATACGCATCATGATTATATAACCTCTGTTGATTCAACTGGCTACAACATTCCCCCTTTTATTACCAGATGTTTAGAAATTACAAGTATGTCACGATGGCTACATAAAAAAGGAATCACACCAGTATAATGAGAAAAATTAATTGTGTGTGCATAATATAGTCTATCAAAGTGCTCTATATTGGTGTGTTATTTTTTTTTTAACATTATAAATGTTTACCTGTTAACACTATCATTTGCAGCCTGGATTCCACTATCTATTTGCAATAATGTTTTATAATCCACATACGCCTGTTGGTATCGTTCCATTGACTCATAGGCCATTGCTCGACGTAGAAGAGGTTTAATAGAATATGGATGAAGTTCCAATGCACTAAAGAAAAATATGTCAAAATTATTACATGCAGGAAAAAAAAGAAAACATATGGGAAAGATGCAGAGTTTAACCTTTCCTAAACATTAATTTGATTTTAATCACAGGCCTCCCCTGAAATAGGAGGTGAGGAGGGTAGATAAGCATGATGATTTACCAGATGGTGTTATTACCATTTCATCCCTTTGGTTTTTTTTATATTAATGCATGTTCTGGAAAGTCTATTAATTAAATGGCCAAGGAACCAATTTAAACTGAGTGCTACCTATTGTTAATTCAGAAAGTTAATGATAATTCTGTATTTAACTTACAATAGCTATTGTAGCTGCAGAACATTCAATACATACAGGCACATAATACAATGAGTGCTTAAAAGGCTTATTACTTATTTCTGTCTCTTTATAATCTACTACAAATATTAACTACTTGGACCAAAGGTAAATTCAGTAAATTTTGTTACTGAAATTTGTTGAGTCCTATTCACAATATATAGCTGTTCTACATAGAATGCAATATTGTATAAATTCAATATGCAGAATTCAAAATTGTATAAAAATCTTACATCAAGTACAAGCCTCAGGAATTTGAAGCAGATGAATTAGCTTGAAACTCTTTATACAGTGGGGCAAAAAAGTATTTAGTCAGCCACCAATTGTGCAAGTTCTCCCACT